AGCCATGAAAAACGTTTAATGGGTCATGAAATAAATATTGAATTTGATTTGTGAGTCATGAAAAATGTATGAATGATTTCATGTCTCATTAATTTCCCATGAAAATGCTGATGAGGAAAGCAGTTCCACTGTGAATTAATGCCTTGAATAAATATTTGATGGCTTTGCAGCAAGAACAATATATACAAAATGTACATGTATTCAGTAAATGAATTAGTACATTTTGGGTTTTACTAGAATAAGCTATACCCTAACGAAACTAGTACTTTGGACTGCACTATTTACAGACAACTTTCAACAAGACAGATCCACTCTGGGACCAGCTAGCAGGGCATCTATAAAGTTTTTGTCTATTGTACGAATAGTTAAAGATTAAGACAGACACATATACGAGCAGGCTCCAAGTACCTGTTAAAAGAAAGTTGACTGTACTGTATGTGCTACTCAACATGAATTAAAGGGACAGGTTTACGGTTCAGTGCATGCTTATTTATCAAAATGCTGTTTTTCTGCCGGGACATGCAGTATCGTCTATGCAAGCAATATGATCATGTCATAATGTTGTCAAAGAACCAATCTGCACACTCTCCTGGCAGTCACTTGCACTTGATCAACTTCAATATTTGCAAACAGCTGTAAATTAATCAACCATGGAATAAAACCTTCGGATCAACAATAAACTCAACGTTGGTAATGTTGGCATAATTCATAATAAATTTTTTCTGCGATTTTAGTACTCCTCCATCCTACTTCAGGTTACTCTGAAATACAATTCTACTTTGAAATACACTCTGAGATCTCTGAGATACATGTGAGTGGGATCATTAACCAATATAATTAATAATAAAAGTAATTTAATTAATGAGCATGCGCTTAACCGTGAACCTGACCCTTTAAGTAATGATCCAGGTAAGGTGGATAGCAATTTCTTTTGTTATGCGGCAACGGTACTTACTCCACATAGGAATGCTCTCATTTTTACACAGAGAATGCATAAACCTACATGAAGGCCGTTTATGCAATAAAATGCATTTACACTCCACTTTGAAAGGCTGTTTTTTTGTGTTAAAAGATTTTGACCAATCACAAGAGTTGAAAACAATGGCCAAGAAAAGTTTACAATTTTACATGTTCCCCACATAGGATTTCTTTGTTATTCAAACTGAGACCAGATTTTGTTATATGGAAGATAGTTGGAAAGTAAGGACGAATATATGTACTGCTTTATGAAGTTTTGTTAACTTTTGTTGTTTAAACCAGTCAGAAGTAAGTACAGACGATAGAAAAGTTAGCACCTTTTTTTACATTCCAACATGTTCGTTGCCGTTGTTGCCATCGTTCTTATCTGGATCGTTTCTTATTCGTTACTTATTCCTGGATATCATGATAAAGAGGCAAGAGTTTGCCTGGGTTGAAAAGTGCATGCTACATTTCTAAAGTACAGAAGGACAGTTACAAATAATGTTTCAATAAAGAGGCATCTTCAAAGGCCAACAATGCTATTTTATTGAAAAAAGGTAACCAAAATTTACCAACAACAGTGACTACTGTACATTTTAAACATTATTAATAGCTTATCAGGGGTTTCAATAAGCACCAACGACCGACAAGACATGTCGGCTACTTTTTCCCCTTAAATTGAAAGCTGGAAATAAAGTACTAAATTAATGAAAGATTCTGTAAAAACTTATAATAAAATTCAATTTGCTGGACCTAGACAGACTTTTTGCTTCAGATTTAAAATAATTAAGAAAAATTTGGGACTTAATGTGCATTACGTGTCCAAATTGATCGAAAAAACATTATCTTTTGTACTCAATTTGGTGTCCAGAAATTTGGAAATTGCATTTTAGGGCATTGAAATGTCAAGGGGTGCATGCTCCCAGACCCCTCTAGAAGAAGGGGAATAATAAAAGCCTCTTTTCGATACAGTCAGTTACTTTTTTCAAACCTGCTGGCTACTTCAATTTTTATTGAAACTCCTGGTTTATGATAGTATCATGAATTTTAACAGTCCATTTTAACATGTAGAAATACAGTCATGTACTTGTTGAAAACATACACTTAGGAGGCTAGCAAGACATTTATAAAAAAAAAAATATATATATATATATATATACAATGCAGTGTTGAAGGTTAAGTAAATCCAGTTTACAGGCTAAAATGTGTAAATTCTTAGCTGCATTTGTTGCCTCCCATAGCACTGCTTGAACCTTGGTAGTAAATCTCCCTTCTATTTGAAAACTGAACCTGTCAAAAAATGATTAATATCACAATTAGCAACTGAAAATTTGCTCAAAATTGGAGGTTCTGCAAATAAGACGTAGGTTCACTATTTCAGTAAGACTGAGTGCAGTCCAATAGGGTCCTTTCGATATTTTTGACCGCGCACTCCTGAGAACTAGGTAGTCGCATGTAAGCGAGGCTTAGAGGACACAAGATGGCTGACTCTGCTGCAGGCAGTTTTCACTGTAAACCGGTTCCTTGGTTAAAAGAATACTTAAAACAAAGGGGCATTCAAAGCTCAGGAAAACGTAAGGTTGAACTGGTAGAACTTTGTGAGAAAAGTGAGGAGATGAAAGTCCCAAAAATTGCTGAAGAGGAAGCACCAGTCGATCCAAGAGTTTCTATGAAAGAGCAACTGAAAACCGATGAGGGAGATCTCGCAAATCCGTTGGATAACGAAAACCGTGTTTTTTCCCAATGGACCAAAAACTTTACTAACGTACCGGACTTTAGATTCCCCGATCTTTTTAATTACCTGGTGGGTAAAGATCCCGTATACAACAGCGAAAGCCTAAAAAGTTACAAATCTTTATTGGGGTACAAATTATTTTTTGATGGACATGTGGAAGAACTTTGGTATCATCCACCTCAACCCAATAGTAATTACAGTTATTTTAAGTTTGCTGTAAAGCCAACTGAAAAATCCAAGACTGATGATGGTTCAGCAACATACAGAGGGTTTTTCATTTTAAAGAAGGATGGAAGTGTCAATTCAGCCTACTGCTTATGCAAAGGAGGGTATGTATTTTCTTCTTCTGATTTCTGAAGCCTGTCTATGTGCTTGATATTCCATAAACATACGTTTGAGAATCAAAACGTTTGGTCTTTTCGGTTGTTTTTCTCTGTGACAGGTTTTGTTTTATTCAGATTCGAAGGTTTATATTTTCCTTGTAGCAGTTGTAACATGAGTAAAAAGTAGATGCCTCCTGAATTGAAGATCTAAATCAATGGATGCATTATTTTAAGTCTCAAACCTTCTGGATCACTTATGACTTCAGCACTAAGTATTAAAACAGTGGTTCAAAGTCAGAATCTGTGAGCCTAGTAACTGAACTTATTGGCTACTTTACAGTCTATCAGTGTGAACAATGTGAGATACATATTTGTCATATTGGTCCTCCTTTAAACAGGGCAGATGGAGGTTGCCGACACATAGCTGCAGCATTGTTTGATCTAGAAGCAAATGTGAGATTCAATGATCTCCAATCATGTACATCAGGACAGTGCATGTGGAAAAAGAGAGGAAAGAGAAATGAGGGAAGTTTGCCCATTCAGGACCTTCAAACGAGTGGTAGTTACGGTGTGACATTGAAAGACCCAATTCACCCAAGAGATTTTAATCCAATTTGTATTCCCTATAATGTGACTGAACTGGAACAAGATTTTAAAGCTGGGTTGTTGAAACATGTCCTAGCTCTTCAGCTCTGCCTTTTTTATCTTCAACTAAAGGACCCAGGCATACAGAGGAAGAAGTCAGAGCTTTCATCAGCAGTGATGTTAATGTCTGTAAAGAAGAAAGTGTTCAAAGTGTACATGTATATTCAATGAATGATTACGCCAAAGTGTTTGTTTCTGTTAATACTGAGAAAGTGATGCCTACAGTTTCTAAAGAACTTGCAGTTGAATTCCTCGAGTCTATTCCATTTAATGAAGAGCAAGCAGAAATGATCAACAAGAAAACTGTCTATCAATCCCAGTCTCAATTTTGGTTTGATCAAAGGGCAGGAAGAATTACAGCTTCCTCATTTTACACTGTGTGCCACCTTAGAGAGAGCACAGACAGAAGAAACACTATTAAACATCTCATGAGTTACTGTCCAATTGTTGAAGATGCCATGCCACGACAGTTGACATGGGGGCATGAAAAAGAAAAGCGAGCACTTAGTCTTTACATAAAAACAGAACAAAAATCATGAAAAGTTGTCAATAGAAAAAAGTGGACTCATTGTAAACACATTATGGCCCTTCTTAGGAGCCAGTCCTGATGGTATAAGGATTTGTGCTTGCTGCCAAAAGAAGTTAATTGAAGTTAAAAGCATGTATGCAAAAGAAATCTCCCTCCACATGTTGCAGCTGAGGAGAACCTCATGCTTGTGGATGGCAAGTATGAAATTAAAAAAAGAAACCAAATGGAACTACCAAATCCAGGGACTGATGGGGATAACAGGGATTCATCGCTGTGATCTAGTTATATATACCCTCAAAGGAATATTGATTGTAAACGTTAAGTTTGATAGTGATTTGTGGAGTGAAATGCTCCAAAAGCTGAGAAACTTCTTCGTGGAGTATATAGTTCAGGAACTATTCCACCATGACATACTTAAGTCATTATAGAGTGACTGCCGTTAGATGCTGATTGTAAAAGTGAAGGTGCTTAAAATTAATAGTGTTTTTGTCTGTGCTGGATTAGATACCACATAATTTTATTGATCTGTCTCTGGATACGTTTAATACATGTTTCATTTACCATTTACATACACTAAGTAGGTCTGCTTTTCTGCTCTCTGGACAAATGCGTCAGTCATTTGGCCAGTGGTGGTAGCAAATTACACAGAGCAGCACAAACACTTAAAATATTGTCTGCAGTGGGTAGCATTTGAAGAAGGAAGTTCCCTTGTAGAATTCTAAAGTCCTTAAGACGTCCAATAGCACGTTCAACGTGGATCCGAACACTTGCAATGGTACGGGTAGATTTTACTGCCTTTTTGAAAGTTGCTTTCCTGTGTAAGAGGAGAAAAAAAAGGATTTTGAATGAAGTAAATGCCAATTCAAAAGGTACTGATAGTAAAGTACTTGCTTTTTGGAAACCTTTTTCCAAACAAAACCTGTACTAAATTATTGGATGGGTGGAAGTGGCAAACCACTGCCTCACACCAGCTCTTTCTGAATTTTCTGGATCCACCCCTGCTATGTAGACATGGTTGGAAGTTAGTAGAGACTACCTTTATCTTTGAGCAGTTCAACTTAACCCTATAATATAAAAAAAAATATTCCTAAGAAACTTCTTCTGTTTAGTTAGAAAGATCCTTTTACAAGCAACAAGTAATGGATGCTGTTATATCTAGTTTTTTTTTTTTTTTTTTTTTTTTTACTTTGTCCAGGGAGACCTTCTCTTTTATCTTAGCATACCCTCTTCCACCCCTACCCCATTAGCTGCCTTTATTGGAAAGGTACCTTTGCAAAGTGGTGGGATATTAAGTGCAACTTTCTTTCTTGTAAGCAGATCTCTGATGTTGAACCCCTTGTCGGCCATAACAGAATCCCCTCTTCAAGTTTGTCCAGTAGACCACTTCTTTCTGTGATGTATCTGTCACTGACATTTCCAGTCCATAGTTTAGAAACAAAGGAGAAGTAACCTGTTGGAGTGATTCCCACCAGTGCTTTCATGGTATTGTGCTGTTTATAGTTACTCCATGTAGCTCTCTGGGCACTAGGGGATGTTGGCTTTTGCAAAAATATCTCTGTGCAATCTATTATTATTCGAGTGCTTGGAAATTTATTAAAAGAACTTGGCAACTTTTTCTTAATTTCTTCCTTACAAGGCCATTTAAGAAGAATGTCACGAAAAACTGTAGATAAAAAGCAAATCCACGTTGTGAAAACTTTGCTAACTGATCCTTCTGATACTCCAAAGATATCTGTAAGATGTCTGCTTAAAAGCCCAAGTCTGAGTCTCACCAAAGTTAAGATAAATTCCTCCATAATGGTCAATAATCTTTTTGCTTTCCAGGCTTTTTTTTTTTACTTGAATCTTTTGATAGCTTACTTTTTTTTTTTTGTTTTTGTCCCAATACTTAAGTTTTTCTGCAAACGGCTTGAGCAAATTAAATATCATCATAAAGCAAGCAAGGCTAGGTATACCCGTAAAAATTTGACAGACTCGTCATCTTTCAAAACATCATCCACAAAGAGCTCTCTTTTCAATTGTTTTTGTTTGATAACTTTGATTTAAGTTCGGCGTTCTCTTGTTTTAAAGCGTCAATTTTACTGGTTAAAACCTCTAGATCTTCGTAAGGAAAGTCCGTTTGAGTTCCTTTGTCGTTAGGAAGAAGGTGGCAATAATTGTGATCTAAAAGGGCTGCATCGTCGCTTAAGAAACAAATGTCTTTGTCTTCCTCGGTAAGGCTTCTCTTTTGAGGTTCAGGACATTTTTCATCAACAGCACGTCTCTTTCTGTCCTCCAGTCTCTTTTCACGGGAAGAAACACGACATTGGTGGGTCGAGGGATTAAAATATTTCGGTAATTCACCTGGAATAACTTCTTTTCTTCCGCAAAGCGACTTTTTGATGGATGAAGCCTCGAAGTGTGCGCTTCAAATCCGAGGGTTTTTTTGATTTTGGAATTCGGGATCACAACGTCTACAAAAGTTTTTCCATAGCCTTCTAAAATGCCCTGAAGGAAAACAGAAAAAGGATAGATCCGGACGATTCCTCGAACTGTTCGAGCAGTTTGCTACCGAACAAAAATTCACCATGACTTTTGCAAAACTTGGAGCATTTCAACTTACAGTGAAGACAGTGAATGCATTTCTATTTTTTTATTTTCCCAGCTGTCCTCTAAGCCTCGTTTACATGCAAGTACCTAGTTCTCAGGAGCGCGCGTCCAATAATTTCGAAAGGACCCTATTCAGTCTGCAATCATACATGTACAGGTGTTTAACAAAATCAGACAACTGTGTAGCGGTAGTCCAATTTGTTTAATCAAGAGTACAGCTGCACAACACTGTATGATTACTGACTGAATTAGAGGACATGAAGTTCTGTTAGACTAATGATTAATAATGATTAATCATAACTTTTGCAAAAGAGAAGAAAAAAAAAAGGGAAAAGGTCAACACATGGACAGTTGTATACAGCTATTTCGAGAAAGGTTGTCGCAAAAACTGTGCACGCGACAATGGCGAAAGGTAATAAGGGATATGATCAATGACTTGTTCCTGACACTGTAGCTGTCGAACCTACTTTTGTTGCTTTCCTTTAGCACTCGCAAACATATGTCCATGGCCCCTCCTGCCATTCTTTGAAATTTCTTTTAAAAACAGTGAACTAAAAACCACCCACAATACCTTTCGGGATTGTCGCATGCACTTTTTCCGACAACCTTTCTCGAAACAGCTGTATATGAGCCAGTGCTTTTGTATAAATTGTAACTACATAAACTCATTGCTTCTTGACATATGATAATAATAATAGTAATCAAGAAAATGCATATTGTGGTTATTGCTGTACAAAACAGTCAAATAAATAAAAAAAAATGGAGAGTTAAATTTTGGTATCAATAATACATTGCAATGGACTAATGCCATATTGAAAATACTGAATGTTGTGATCAATGTCTCTTTTAGTACTCGCACATATAAACCAGTCCACTCATCTTCACTACCATGAGCCAAACCATTTTATAAGCCACTCTCAAATGAAACTGTATATTTACCAACCAGAACAGAACTAAATTAATACCGTGTGTAATAAAATGTACATGCAAGTGCAGTTTTTGCGATGCAAGCATAAGCATAAGAGATTATACGATGGTGAGGACGGCCTTAACAGAAGCACAAGAATAAACACAAGAATAAAACGTAAGCTTACTTTTCTTCAGTTTCTTGTGATCAAAAGAAAAGCTTTGCCGCTGTCAGGTTCCAGTTTGATAATTAGGATTTCTGTACGGCCGGGCAACGGCCCCACTCATACATTATGCTTGCAACTGCCATTTCATACTATTTCACACAAATAGTTGATGTGAAGGGAATCGAAACATAAGACTTAAGCTTACATGTAAGCTATGATCTGAATATGGCTGTACGGAATTACACATACAGTACGTACATGAGTATCTTGTTAGCTTTAATCTGTGACAATGCTTCGCTACATATCGTACCTCACTGTACACTGTAAAGACTGGTCCATCTTCCGGTTTGATGTAGCTGACGATCTTGTTCCCTGTAAAACTACTACAGCACCGTAAATTCCCCAAAAACTCGCCTTCAAGTTGAAAATCTCGATTGGTTTTTCAGTGCTCACGCTGTAAAAATGGTCAGCAGTGATGTTCGAATTACAGGCCCGGTCGGCGCGGTCGCAAGGCAAACCGCTTTGAGGGCGGTTCAAAGTGAAACTAACGGCTGTTAGCTGTGATTGTAATTTTAGGAAGAATCTGTGAATTCAAAACAGTCATGTTTAAACCTTTAGCGCAAAAGTTTAAGAAACATCACTTGTTGCGCGACTGTGAGGAAGCATAATCGATCGCTTCTCTTTTTTGTGTAACATGTAACGAAAACTTCGCACCGTTGATATCAGATCATCGGCTGGATTCGGGAAACGCACTGGGGAAGCGATTTTAGGTGAGTTTTGTTTTTCCTAAGTAGTGCTTGTTTATTGTAGATTACTTTCTACTAAAGCAAAATAATCATAGTTTCGTTGTTGTGTGCTGGGGCACAGTCAGACAGAGCCGCGATTACAGTTGATCATGATGTAAGAAGCGGAACACAATCTGACAGAAGCTGTGCATGGTCTATGTTAAGTTTATTTTTAGCCATTCACTTTTACCGAAA